AACGTTATATCTATGTCACTCAAACCGTTGAAAATCTTTTAATTCATGAAATTGATCTTATTTTAATCATTTTAAAAAAATTTAGTAAAACGTGCATCATCGATGATCATCGTGGCGGTCAACGTGTTAAAATACATACAGTGGGACAAATAGAAGATAGGTTCTGCAGTATAGAAATTCCATGATATACAGGATCCTACCGTATCTTAAAAAGTGTAGATCAAAATTTTAATAGCCACTGATGATCTCCGACGATAAGATAGATACAGATGATTTTCCGAATTTCAGCCGGCCTATGTATGTACATTACGCTATCACAGATATAGGTCGTCAAGTAGAATCGAATGGTCTCCCGTCGCGATGGAAATCGAAATTTATGGTTGAATCTGTGGCACTCTCGCCTCGTTGCTCATGGAATTCAAGGATATGTGTATCTAGCTACAGAAATATGCAGAAAACTGTATGCATCAATTCCACTACATACGCGCGCCAGTATAGTTACGGTTCGCACGCATACGTGGACAGCTCACACAGATAACCAACATAGAGATCGCGAGATGAAATCGGGCAAAAATGACTTTTTCATAACGCGTGATCATACATTTACCTCTGTACATGTGCGGATGTATATGTGTATACATATATTGTACGGTGAGACTGTTCGTGCAAAGAAGCACACGTTATGACGAACGTTCCGCACAGAAAACTGGTTCAACGAAACGTATAATCTTGTAAGTTGAACCATTATGGGCTGATTTTGTCCAACACTTTATTTTTTGTTAAGAATGTTACTTCTGCATGACTTCGCACGATCTCACGAAGAAAAATGAGGTTGGAAGTTACGCCAGAGTTATTAATGTCGCTGCTAGTAAGTACTATTGGATGGATAACTGAATGATCAAGAATATTTAATTCGCAGAGTACGTTAAATTTAAAGTTACAATATCTTATCCTAATATTTGAAAGAAATCATTTCGAAAAGTCTTTTAATAAAACTTACGCGACATACTTCGTTCGTTGTTAATATTTATTGGAGCACACATATTTTTGAGCAGCTAGTACAACACTATTGGCACTGTTATATAAACCGTTCACCACTGACTAGAAAAATATGGTAACTTTAATTTGTTAATCTAGGAATCATTAAGCTTCATTACCACTAACACAAGGACTTCAACACGAAGGGGAACTCAAATGACATTTATGCTCAATTGTCCTCAGTTTAAATACTGATCAAATTTCAAATTTATGAGACGAATATCGTTTCCTAACAATGAAATTGTTATAATAATACATTTTCTTTTATTTGACAATGATGTTTCCCTTCTCCCTTCCCCTGGTTTCCCTCCCTTCCGCTGTTTCCCCTGGTTTTACGTAACTCAGCTCAAAATAAATAATATAAAACACTAAATAAGAAACTAATTAACCAAATATTGTTTTTTCTAATGTAATCAAACTTTAATCTTCCTTGTCATAATGAATTTTTAATCTTTTACTATAATGATAAATATGATAAGTTCATGATACAATATATCATAAAAGTAAAATGACTGCAACAAGATGCTGCATCGTATAGAGAGCCAAAATAAAATAATTGATTGTTGATGTTCGTTTATTTAACTTCGATATTGGGTATTCTCAATAATTTCTACAAGTGCGCAGAGATTTGCAGATTAAACATCTGAACGTGCATCAAACAGTTATGCGGCGCTGATGGCATATCGGAACATAGGTCGTTAACTTTCTCGAGCAACGGAGCAACGCTTTCACGTGCACGATCGTCCGAATGGAAGTCACGTTATCGTTTGATTATAGTCGAAAACTATACTCTTTCAAGCGAAAGTCATTTGCCCCATAGCAAATCGCAATAACGTTCAAAATTCGGACTAGTAGCTTGCTTTGAAAAGGTTATTGCTGAAGGTAAAAGAAATGGAACATCGTGAAATATATGTGAGATTACAATATAGATCCCCCATGAAAAGTACTACTTTATACGTGTATGGTACAATTGATATATCAACATTTATTTTTAAATATATTTTAAAGCAATCGCAATTCAAGCAATTCGTTTTAAAACAATGCAATGCAATGTTGACATCACAAATTCAAATCTTCTATTTCATTTTTTTGTATAAATCTATACAAGTATACTTTTCATATTCTTTTATAACAATTAACTAAAATTATTTAGTAATTATTATTTTCGAGAAAAGGAGACCCCATAATTTTACACAAAAATGCATAAACATCCATAATCTACACGTAACATAATCACCAAATATATATGTATATTAATATGTCCATCCTAGTTATAAAAGACAATTATCTCATAATTTCTAATAATAGTGAATATAGTGAGACTATTACTGTTACGATTAGGTACGTTTGTTTTAGAGTAGTTCGACTCTAAGAAAGCTGTCTTGGTGAACCCCGCGTGATACGATATCCATTGCCCTCGAAGGAGATATCTTGGATTACCATCCTAAATTGCTAGCAATGATTATCCCCTTTATTGGCTAACTTAAGAGTAGAGCACTAACAATTCAAACTGTAATAAGCCAATCGTTTTTATTACAGCTATTTCTGAAGTTTACGTAACTAATCGCCCGCTCGCAGTTGGTTTATAGAAAAATTTCACAATGACTTTAAATTTATTCATCCTTACCTTCATCTACGCTTGGCTTTCATTTTTATAGTATTTTATTTGTTTCATTCTTAAGCAATCCATTGAGGATACAATATCCAATACTTGATTTTAATAATCGCAAGTGTTTAAAATATAAATATAATCAATTTTGTCTTTAAACGGATTTGCTTCACACGATTTTAATTCAACACGATTTAAAAAACAAACAATTCTCTTTTTGCACGAACCAATTCGATTTAACACGGTTCGAATGGTGTCATTTAAAAAATTTCCATTGGAATTTAATTCTTTGAAGCTCGTTTTGGTATTTTTATTATGTCGTTCGAAGCGGCGAAACTGATTCAATTACAGTCTCATGCAAAGGAATGCTTCTACCGCCAAAAAGTGGCAGCGAATAAAATTTAATAATATGTCACTATATAAATTAAAACAATATAATATAACAAGAAATATTACAATTGAATAAAAAGCAAAGGAAGATTCGATTATAGAATTTGATCTGGTTTGTTCGAAAACAACTAGTTATTTGTATTGAATTTTTACGTCTCTAATCAATCTTATATTTTTCATATATTTCCTCTTATCTTTTTTTTCGTTTTTGTACGGTTCATCGAAAATCTATCAATCGTGTAAAGATAGAATTGGATAGAATTATTGGATACGTCTTTGTTTTATAATACCGCGTCATATTCGTCGTGTAGACTATGGTTGAAATACAACGAAGGCCAACTGCGATTGTATCCAACAATTTTAATTTCTGACTTTACTTTCAAATTCCTAAATACATATAATACATTTGCGAGAACGATTACAATTTCGATAAATTATTAAATCGTTAATCATTCACTTATTTCTTAAATTTTTATCGCGTATTATTATAAATATATTACTACCATGCATAGTATGCCTTATAAGCTATAAGGAATGAATGGTTTGATCTTGTCATATGCTTATCTGATTTCCCGTCGGCGTGCAGTGTGTATCATCAATAATTCATGTATATTTTGTTTCCCATGGTAAACTACGCGTATGGGATAAAAGTAATCAGAGTTTAGATTACTTCATTCCAAACCGAGTAATATTCTGCCAGTCAGAATTAAAATTAAAAACACCGTGAAATTTGGATGTTTAATACGTGTTCCACAATGTTTTTAAATATTCCTAGAATAAATTAGAAATCAGAAAACTTATTTCGAATACGTACTTGATCGTCGTAATACATATTGAGTGTTGTTTTCTGATCTGAATGCTTATTTCTCACTATTATACATCTAATAAACGATATTAAAGTTGAAGATATTGTTACTTATATATCTATTTATATTATCTACTTATATATTTTTGTAATATTACAGGCGAAAGGCTAACATATGAATAAAAAATAAATAAAAATAAAATATTGATGTTAGAGGGTATACGATAAATAAAAATTGGAATACCGCAATAGAGTTAAATTTATATTTTGGCCCAGTCGCATGAGATACTCTTGCAACGAAATGGAAACGACAGAAATATCGATACGCTAAAAATTGCTTGTTTATGTTACGTCCGTACATATGCAGATTCTGATTCAAGGGAACCATCTATCATCGCTCAAATAGTACAATTTTTTCAGTGGCGGACATGAGACCACGACCAAGAACGACAGATACGTCGTTAAGATTAAATGTTCAATTTCGAGCATGTGGGTGACTTTCGGGAACAGAAGCAGTGCTTCGTCACTTCCAATCTTGATTGGTCGAAGAAGGAGAAACTGAATGAGAACGGGAACGATCGTCGATAGATATTTCCTTTACGCGAAAAACCGTACCTATTCAATTGAAAACACAAAGAAAACCGATTTCTACCCATCAGGAGTAAGCGGTAAATATCTCACGTAATAAATTTTATTTTGAAGTGCGGCGATGTATGGGAAAAACTATTGTCAGTATTGTCAATTGTTGCACAATTGAACTAATATTATTAGCGAAATTTTACAAGTTACTTACAAGTTATAAACTGCTTCTTGACAACAGCAACAACAGGTTTGATTTAAAAAAAAAAGAATAAAAGGAAATTTATAGAGATAAATCTTGCAGATTACACGAAATTCTTTTAAATAATTCTATACAGATTGTTGAAAAATTTAAGAGTATTTCCGCAAAGACTTTAGAAATAGAGATACGATCAGGAAATACAAAAGAAAATTGCCATAGTTTACATAATGTTATCACAAAAGTTGGAACCATTACGCCGCTATTTCCTCTACTTTCTCTCAGTTGTATTATCCTAATTTTGCTCAAATCAGTTGAATATACGTAAACGTCAGGGAAAAAGCAAGAACCAGAAAAACAACAGGAAGAAAACGACAGAATACTATTATACGCAAATGAAACACAGAAATTTATTTTTATACATTCTACAACTAATTTCTATCAATAAAAAATTTCATGAATAAAATTTTTTTTTGTTCGCAGAAGCTGGAAAAAATGAGAAAATTGAGGCAAAATAAGACGCGTATAGTATCGTTCGACAGTCGTAACTGCAACTCAAATGGTATCCTAGACGCTTGAACTTACAATTAGCTGTATGTAAGGCAGTAGGTTGACGAACTATTGGTATTCAGTCCTCCTTCAAAACGGTCTGCTAGCTAATATATTGAAATTCATGGCACGAACGAGCCACCGCAATCATCATGCGTACGAATATTTACGACTTAGGTAAAATAAGTCTAATATCATGTTGATAGCCGACCAGCAATGTTCGAAATGACATCGTGTAAATTTCAAAAGGTGAATAAAATACTGGTACCGTCTCATTTTTTACATTTATTTTACGTTTCACTCTACATCAATTGGTTTTTTGAAATATAAAGTATTGACCAGAAATTTGCAATCACTTTTCCAGCTGTACCAACATTGAATCACCTGTAATTTTATGATCAGAAATTTATTCGAAAGATTTATCAAAGTGAAAGAAATAAATTCTTTCAAACAAACCCCTTTACTTGGATTTGTCGGCTGACTTGTCGAACATAGTAAAATTCTAAATTAATTTCTTTTTCAAATTCTTGCGTTCAGAATTCTTTTATTTTCCGTTGAAATCGGTCATCGCCTTACGTACAAGCGAATCAGTGTAATATTTACCGCTTCTGTGAAAGTTTAAATCTACAATCAATTGCTTTCTACCGTTTATAGACAATTTACGCGGCATTAAAAAAAAGATAGTGAATCACTACATCGAATATTTCTGCAGTCATGGTATATCAATATTAAGAAACTGCACTTTTGCAAAGCATTTTAATTCGATTGAAAAACGCTACTTGATACATAGAAACGAAAGTATAATGACTAGACAGCGTATTTTTCAAATATCAAAGGAGGTTTTAAAAAAAAGAGAACCTGTGCATTCAGAATTCTACCAAAAAGTGGAAAAATTTGATGAAGCTACGCAGAGACGGAGAAGAAATAGGAGACAAAGTCGAAGCCCCGTGTGTTGTATGTAACCAACCTTTTGTTCTGTTAGCGTATTTGGTTTGTTCGGTATAGCTACGTACAGTTTCGACCCCTTCGATTTTCCAGCCTGGAGGGCTTGATCGTGGCCCGCCTACAAACAGGATCTGATTAGACGAGCGAACGGGTGTCCCGGAGAACCAACCAATCGATTCGAATTCAGAATCTCGAATTCACGATGGTTCGTGCCCTCCAGTTGTACCTGCGTATCCAAGTACTAGTACCAAGCTACCCAGAGCATCGCAACCCATCTAGATTTCCGAAGGCAGTTCGTGTTGCGATCTGACTAATGAAGACGGATATTGGAAGCGCACCTTCGATTCACATCACTGTCTCAGCACCTATTAGCATCTTCCAGTCTCTTTGGGGACATACATGCTCCTACAAATACACCTAACATCCCCGTTTCTAAATTAATACTGCATTTCTCTAATGTGATCACTCTAATGTGATCTTTCAAAAACAGACATCCTCTGCTTTAGTGCAATTTACTACATTTTCTATTTCACTATATTTTACTGTATTTTTTACAGTCTACCTATTTGTTATCTATCTTAATTTATAGTTATATCTATGTCTATAATAGTATCTTTATAAAAGAAAATATTCCCATTTAAATGACCGTTACGATTCTATTGATTTCTCTATATCGTGTTATAGAATTGTTATACATAGAAATATAATAGTCATATAAAAAGCAAGAACGAAGTTAAGAATACAAAGGAAATTTATAATATATATTATTACATATTAATGATAATTATTATTAGTATATTATTCGTATGACAGTAAGTTGCACAAATGTTGTTCATGAAATCCTCTGAAAGATTTCTAAATCGATATCGTTTAGTTTCTTTTAAGAAAAGCAGAATATGTAGGTTGTATTTCCGCTAAATGTAGGCTGATTTGTGTGACAACCTGTAGACAACGTTCATATGACCAAGTATCCTACACAGAAATATATCATACCAAAGATATGCTTGTGATTGAATAATTGTTATCAACTTTAGAATTCGCTAGATCCAAAATTTTAACTATGAACAATTTACTAAGTAAAGAACCAGCATTCGCTGTTATTGCAGTGAATTTTAGAACTCAAGTATTCATTGACAAACGAGAAATATGAAAAAAAAAACACTTACTGAAATAAATTTCTATTTATGCATGAGATAAAAACAGATTTATATTCGACCATTACGCGCAATGGTATTGTAAATTGACCAATAGATATGGATATTAAGCGCTGCTTTGACCTACATCAAGGTCTGGTTACCAATTAATATACGTTCCAGTCCACTGTGAATACACGACACACAAGTTGCATATAGCGCTATAGTATGTATCAATGTACGTATACGAAGTACTCGAATTTCTGCGAACGTATTTCACGATAACGGCAGATTACAATACCTAATGTGAATAATGAATATACGTCCATAATTCATACATCAAAGATAAATTCGCGACGTCTTCATAAGCCTAAATGAATTCTTCTTTGAAACGTATTTTCAACGAATGCTTAGAAATATATATATTTAACAAAAAAATTATACAAGATCAAAGACTCTCTGATACTAAAGGCAGTATCGCTTGCGTAAACAAGGTTCGTTACGCTTACCAACTTCGGATTATGAAATGCACAATAGAGTTCGTGTGGTTGCCGTAACCTTTTGGTTGATGTCGAGTATTCTGCGAGTATTCAATGGCTACAGAAAAGAACTGTGAAAGTCCGTGAAAAGAAAGTAAACTTTGATAGTCAAAGCATCAAACTTTCAATATGTATGACTATGATCAAATGAAACGAAGATCAACTTGTACAAACGCAACAAATAGCTGAGAATATATTATAACCTTGTAACATTGGTTTCATTTCTTAAGAAGTAATTATTATTATTACTTTTATATTAATATGCCAATTTAACTTCTTTTAATCGTGACAGCTAATCGATCGATTAAACTGAAGACTTTGATCATGCAATAGCCAATCGAAATACCGATATTGCAAATACCCCACGTCACAAAAGAACCTATCGACAAAAAAAAACACTATAATCTTGTCTCCGTACACCTTCTCTCAAATATCAAACGCCTGGTCTCTCGCCTCCCCTACCATTCTTTTTGCCTCTCAAACTCTCGCACGTATTTCTGTCTCTTTCATGTTCCTCTGTATTGTGTTTCCTTTCTTCGCTCGAATGGAATAAGTTTAGCGTAGGAAATTCCATTTGGACAAGAAGCGGGAAACTCGGAACGCTTCGAAGGAAAGTTTCATGGATAACTCGTCGAATTGTAAAATCAAGTAGCACGCTGCGTCTTCCTATCTTTCGTCCCGATACTATTGGAAACGAACGTTTGTACCGCGATCCTGATCGATAAGGCTACGTCCTTTAAAGCAACAACAGATTTCATCGAAGCGTAGATCGTTCGGATACTATCCACAGTTTACCGTAAATTTCTTTTGCAATCCCGTCGAACACGAGAACACGGTGGGCAATAAGAATCGAACCAGCGCTATGCAAGGCCGCGCGTGGTAGTGCAAACACTTTATTTGTTTCCCGGCTCGTGAAATCACTAAAACGCGAGGCCACTTTTTATCCACCGTACACTTCTCTTATGAAAATACAATCGCGAACAACGCGCGGTTTTCATCGATTCGAATCTTCTATGGTCGGTCGAAAATGGGATACACGCAAAAAGATAGATCCTTAACGAAAACACATTGCGAAAGAATCGAGTGTATTTTCACCTCGTGTTTCGTATAAATACGCGATTATCATTTTATACGATTTGATCGGAGTTGTTCTAACCATTTTCATTTTTCACGATTGAAATTTATATTCGAAGATAGCGTGCGCGCAATTCATGTTATACCAGTAATTTTATAGTTTGTAATTTCAACTTCTATTAATTTTATGGATTTAGAACGTGTATCTTTAATTTTATGGTGACAGCCGGTATATACTTTGTTTACACGATAATGAATTAATATAACGTGAAGCAAATCACTAGAAAGGGAATAGGAGTTCCTCGAATCGCGATTCGGCGTCTGTGTAATAAATTCATTGTGGGCGTTTATGCTTTTACGGAATATTTGAACGTGTGAAAATGCATATAATGCGTATACTGTATAAAAACGTACAAAATATGCAAAATAAACTAATAAGATTTATCCTTATATGTATTGGTTGCAATGTATTGATCAAAATATGAATTTACATAAACATCCGCAATCCAGTTATAGATCTCAATCAGTCTACTATATTTTATAAGAACCTAACTTTTAATTGAAAAGCTATAATAAAAATCATTACTTACGATTTCTCCAAAACAAAATTGACAGATAAATGGCCTTTTATGTATACATGATGCTCCTTACCTGAAACAAAAAAGGAGACGATTAGGTAATTAAAGTAACAAATAAAATATCGTTTATTATAAGTATACAACTTTCAAACTGTTAAATAAAATAATCAATTTAATAGAAAAGATATAAAATATTATTTAACTACATAATATTTTTACTATTCTCTAATCGCATGATATGTTAACAATTTTCCCTTACAAACGATCATGATAAAACCAGCTAAAACATTACGTATGTGCATTGGATTATATACTTGTTTTTCCAACATGAATAATTCACGATTTATATCAGGTGTGTACATAGGCATCTTTAAACAATCAATTTGGCAAACATACAACAGCGTTCAATCATAATTAATATACAGTCAGAATTTGTAAACACTAACAATAAATACCAGGTTGTATTGACTTATACGTTTCGCTTATTTATTCAGAAACACTATTTGGAATCCTTTAAATCACGAAATATCTTTACTAAGAAAACCTGTTTACAAACAAGTACTACAAGTTCAAGATACTCGACTCATTACGTAAGAAATAGCTGAGAGTAAATAAACAAATAGTTTAGTTGCTAGTATTCATCGAGACTCTATATCACTAACAAACATCAAATACTTAACATACATCAAATATTTGATTAATATTTGGATTTTGTACAGAGAACAAGATAAAAAGTTGCACGAGTCACATACATGTAACAATTTTCTTATTAGATCATGATATTCACTGAAGAAACGATTTGTTATATCGAATACAATGCAACCAATAGAATAAATAAAGAAATTGGTACGAAGAATAGCAAAATTATATGCAGTTCCCAAGTCATGAAACAAATGACATATTCAAAATCATAGTAGTGAAAGTAAGTCAAAGTTTCACATACTGGAATCTAGTCACGTATTTCTACTTTTAAAATCATAACTCCTTCAACATCACAATTTACTGAATTATAATTTTACCTTCTACCGCGATAACGAGTATGCCATCGAAAATGTCATTACTAGTTTCCTATAATAATAAGTCTTTTCGTCAAAAATAGCACTGAACTGACTTACACTACTATGGCTCTCAATCAACTGTACAAATTTCAAACAGTATCAAAATTGAAATAATAATTGAATGTCGTTGGAATTAATAAATTTAAAATAATCCACGTCGAATGACAATCTATTTCTTGGCCAGGTGGATGGTAGGCACGATTCACTTTCGAAATCGGCTAACTTCAGCCGGCAGCGGAATAATTAATAGTTTAATTTAAGTCCTCGCACCCGAAGGCGCGATTACGCGCAAATATTTGCGAAAAGCAGCCGGATCCGGTTGCAACAACGAGAGGACCGGCGTTCAGTTCTGATTTCGATTTCGATCTGGATCGATCGTACGTTACAGTCGAATTAACGGAAAGCCGCGTCGGGACGCAAGGATTACCATTATTTTCGTCCCGTGCAAATCCAGCAAATCCGTTCTACCGTACAAATATTCGCTTTCCCTGTAACTGCCGAACCATTTGTTCATAAATATTGATACGTTTAAAACCTCCAGCCAAATGAGGCATTTCACGTTTTAATTTCTTCCACTACCTACGCCTATGCCGAATGTACTCCACGATATCGCAGAATCATACTATGCGACATCGATATCACGACAATTTGCATTTAATTGGTTCGTATCTAGCTTTGCGAATCGATTGACTATTTATACTCCGAATGATTAAAATACAATCAACCGGTGCTACAATTCTGCACAATACATCAGGCCGGTTTAACGCTTTTTCCAATGCATTTTAATGTTTACATTTAACTTATAGATTTCAGATCTGTCGAAATCTGTCGGGAAGATATTCATCATATTCATGTTACATGTCAGATTTATGTAGTTCGTCGAAAAGTGTAGAATTTCGTCTCTGATTGTTTAGCCTATTATTATTTTAATATTTGGGTGATTTGATATTGCAAATGTGTCTCATCCATCTGATGTAATATACAGACATACTTTGAACAGGAAAATGTCAATACACAATATACATCTGTATTCATATTGGCAAAAATATAAATTTACATAAACGTCTGCAGTCTAATCATTAATAATTTTAAATGTAACGAAATAAAATAAAATCAGGAAAGTATAATGCAGGTATGGAACGAAGCGCACATTATATGTATTCAATAAATAGGGAATCCACTTAGGTTCCATCCTTTCAGTCTTTTTTTTTACAGATCTTCTTTTATAAATCTGTACATTACATTTTTAATTTTCGTTTATCGAGAAAAGCAAACTTCGCGTAATATAGCATTTAGGCGATGGATTCTGCACAGGAAAACGATAAAAAAGGTTCATATAAACAAATGCACTGTTTGACCTTCTTTTCGAGTTATAATAAGTTTTAAGACAGCGACGAATTACTTCGCGAGAGAATTGGACAAGTCTTTCAAAACAATACTTGGAGAAAAGGAAAGGATAATACAGTCAATGGTAAAATGTTTCCAGGTTTGTGTTTGGAAGCAAAGACGTCATGTTGGATAGGTCCCGCGAAGTTATACAGATACAGTTTGTTAAAACAAAAAAACTCGTCATAGCTCTGAAACAAGATCAAGCAGGTCATACGTATATATGAATTTTTTTTTTATTGTTTTCATGTGCAGAATCTACCGCCGAAATGGGTCACCTTGTATATTTTAAATAAAATTAAGCAAATATCACAAAATAGTGCGGCGTCTAAAGTCCAAAGAATCAACGACCTTTAATTTACGAAAAAACCACGAATGCATAAAAGTCAGCCGACAAAAGTAGATATATATATGTATGTATGTATAGGTATATTCCAATTGTTCAATCGATAGGAAAGTCCGTTCATTCATCCCTCTCGAGCATCTCTACAAGCGTACCGTCGGTTACACCGAGTCTTCCGCCCCATCTACCGAGAAACTTTTAGCAAAGAACGAGACCGACGTAAAGCCGGACCAGATTGGTTTACTTCTATGACCACTTCGCTTCGAATTTCCTTTGATCGTGCAGGATCCACCTCCGAAAATCTTTCGCGCTTCGTCCGTGAGGAAATAAAGTGGCCCTTTTCGATACCTGACAACGAAACTTTGTAACACGCTAAAGCCAGGATACAAATAAAGGTTTCTACAAGTGTTCATCTTGTTGGAAACTTATCGCAATCTAATAATACAATAATCCACATCGGATTTGTAAATATTGATTTTGGCAAGAATTGATTGAGAAGCCTGTAAGAAGAAGAAGAAGAAATAATGAATTCCTGAAGGAGGATGTTTCTTATATAAATTAATAATTCAGTGCATGTAATTGTACTAATTAATAAATCTGTTTCTTTAATCTAATAGCTGCGCGTATCTTCTCTTGTTAGTATAATATTATAGTTTGGATAACATCATTTACATACTGCATTATAATATTAGCACGATAGATATACATAATTGGTATAATGATAAACACCGATTACTCTCCTAGATATTAAACTAATTTCAACGGGGAAGTTATTGACAAAACCTTTATTCAACAACAACGATATTTAATAGGTATTACTATAAATGAGATGTTTGCCACTAATATAAGAGAATGAGTATCATTAATCTTTAAATTAGGTTAATCTCGTATGTCTCAATCTAGCTTCAATTTCAATCAAGTAAAAAACTTTAAACATATATTATGAGGAAATCTTTAGCATACATTCAAAACGGGAAATTAGGCATATTAATATTTTCTTCACAATTACGATAGACGATCGAAATAAACAATAGAGTCAATCGAAGATGATTCGAAGGTCAATCTAAATTTATTAAAACTTCCTGCGTTATCTTTTGTAGAATAGTAGTATTAATAATAGTAATAGTAGTATAATATTAATAATAATAATAGTAGTATGATCTGGTAGCAGAGGACTTGCAACATATGTGGCAATAATAAAACAGTTCTCAGTCCTTCTAATTAAATATAGAATATACGAAATTTGCAGTGAAATTTGATAGTATTTTATTTTAATAAAAATGGTCATTTTATAAGAGACGCAAAGGCTTTTGAGCATCACTACAGGACCTCTTCAAATATACGAAGAATTTTTAATTAAATTTAAATGTTCCTGTTACACAAGACAATCTTTTTGTACATATTTATTTATGTAAGACGTAAGATACCATGTAGCCGATTATACAGATCTAAAATTATTAGATTCATCTACACGAAACAAAATGCCTTGTGATGAACTTTCTAAGATAATCGCAGTAGCGCAGCAATAGATTCCACGTTCAAAGGACAAATGTACTAAATATTTAAAACTGCTCACTTTCCTAAAGATGAGATATTACATTCGTCTACGAACGTCGTACTAATTAGCACAGTGGCATTGCTTCGAACCTTCATGGTCCTCTCCTCTGGACTCTATTCAGTCCGCTTCGAGTTTACTATGACTACCATTGTCTGTTCAAACAATCCCTCGTGATTAATTCGGAACGTTTTCAGTGAAAACTATGACAAACCTGTGAACAAGCGGACAAGAATTCCAATGGAAGCACCAGGCGACTCACGACAATCAAAATTCCTAGTGACTATTGATCTGAATCATCATCAATGTGTTTTTCACCAGAGGTAGAGAGATCAGCGATAATTAAAAAAATAATACTTTTTACGTAGTGTCAATTCTTCCGTGACACTTGTCTCATAAAGACACAGTTCACAGCTATGTCCACATTTTCTATTACATTGCCAATTACGTAACACTTTTATGCGGTTAACTGGGAGTTGTTAAGACGCAGAAACGTAAAAAACTTTTATCTCAACCATAGAAACTATCTTTTAACATGTAGAGTTACGCAAAATGTTACACCATATCGTCAGTTTTCTAGAAAAATAGCATAACTAACAATAGGAAAAATATATTTATCTAAAAATTAGTTGGAAATGGAAAATTTACAGCAGGAAATTGTTAATTATACTCATCTATTTAACAATGAATTTCTCAACGAAATTTTTCAACGTCTTTAGATTTCGAAAATC